TAGTTAGTTAGTTAGTAGTTAGTTAGTTAGTAGTTAGTTAGTTAGTAGTTAGTAGTTAGTTAGTAGTTAGTTAGTTAGTTAGTTAGTTAGTTAGTTAGTTAGTTAGTAGTAGTTAGTTAGTAGTTAGTTAGTTAGTAGTTAGTTAGTTAGTAGTTAGTTAGTTAGTTAGTTAGTAGTTAGTTAGTAGTAGTAGTTAGTAGTTAGTTAGTTAGTTAGTTAGTAGTTAGTTAGTTAGTTAGTTAGTTAGTTAGTTAGTTAGTTAGTTAGTTAGTTAGTTAGTAGTTAGTTAGTAGTTAGTTAGTTAGTTAGTTAGTTAGTAGTTAGTAGTAGTTAGTTAGTTAGTTAGTAGTTAGTAGTAGTTAGTTAGTTAGTAGTTAGTTAGTTAGTTAGTTAGTTAGTTAGTTAGTTAGTAGTTAGTTAGTTAGTTAGTTAGTTAGTTAGTTAGTTAGTTAGTTAGTTAGTTAGTTAGTTAGTTAGTTAGTTAGTTAGTTAGTTAGTTAGTTAGTTAGTTAGTTAGTTAGTTAGTTAGTTAGTTAGTTAGTTAGTTAGTTAGTTAGTTAGTTAGTTAGTTAGTTAGTTAGTTAGTTAGTTAGTTAGTTAGTTAGTTAGTTAGTTAGTTAGTTAGTTAGTTAGTTAGTTAGTTAGTTAGTTAGTTAGTAGTTAGTTAGTTAGTTAGTGCCTCAAGTGAGAATCGACTACCACCTCCGGTCTACCAAACTAGAACCCCAATAACTAACCTACTGGAGGCCAAAAAATTTCCGATATTTCCTCTCCACCGAAATGTGAAAAACAAAAGAACAGATTTTCACATTCGCAGCCATACGTTCAATTTCAACATCCATGATCATGATCATTAAGCACAGAAATGTTTATGGCAATTATTGGAGAACAGCGGGCCAACAGGTTAATAAACGTACTAATCGTACAAAACAAATATTGTTGTATTAAAAATTGTTTCGAATAAAACTCAATAAAGATGCATAACAACAACTACAACAATGACTAAATTCAAGAGTAGGAGAAGATCGGGCGTAAGGACCAACATGCGCAGAGGTACAAAATACCACAATTTTAATTTATTTTACTAATGAAGAGACCATTTATTAAATATGAATAAATAAATTAGTCCAGTGAAATATGTTTAGTTTTATTATAAGTAAGAGGTTTAGAAACAAAGGCAACAATCTCCATTTCCTACATGACCTTTTTTAGAATTAATTTCGTACTTTTCTTACACCTTTTTCTAGTTCCATTACACTAAGAAAATATGAAAATTAAAATATAAATATCTTTAGAAATAAAGTTTTTTTCCAATTGAAACATTAACAAATAATTTCTATTACGTACATATATGTATTAACGGCACATAACTTTAATAGTCATTTATCAATTTTATTACAAATAAATATAAATAAAACGCAACATAAAACAAATTAATTAATTAATTATTGCCTTCTATTTAACACCCATTTATCTTGATCATTTACTGGATAAACAATCATAAAGAAACCATCAAGGAAGACATAAACAGACGTTAAACGAATCATAAACATTTCTAACACACACACACACGCACATACACACTTGTACTCATATGTGAAAAGTAAAATATTTAAAAAATAAAAAAATCTTATTGGAAATTTTGTGGTTGCAATTTTATGAAGTGAGAGACGATATAATCAATCAATAGCTTCCAATTGCGTCCATCGTTTAGCCACTCGATATTTAAATGAAAAATTACAATGAAATTACAAAAACAAGTTGAGGGGGGGGGGGGGGGGATATGTTCTCTATATTTATCATTAAACATTGTTATAAAATAAACACACAAACAATTTAAAATACCTTTACATAAATATACATACATAGAGCAACACAAATTTGTATACAAAACAAATATTTTCTTACAAACACCATCAATATCGATGATCTTACAAAGGAAAAATTACTATTGATTTATGTTGGTTGAGGGAAAAGTTTATTTCTTAAACGGCAAATTCTATAGGATAAATATTTGATTTAGATTTTATTGATATATGATATAATAATATTTTGGGAAATATTTAAAACGAAAAGCTGATAAAAGTGTCAGTGTAAAATCATTGATCCATTTTCGAAAGTAATGCTGGAAACGCCATTTCGTTCAACGGCGATCTAAAGTACTTGGCAAATTCAGCTCCCCCTGGGGTCAGGTTACCTTGATAAAACTTCTCCTATCTTCGTGTTACTGCAATCCCGGGAAAAAGATGTGCTACCCTGCAAAAATTGCGACTGCTCAGCACATACATACATACGTGTAAAGAGTACCCCTCAAAGGACTAGCACTGGTTCAAAACTAATCCAAATATATGGAAAAAACATTCAGCATTTCACATTGTGATGTTCTAGTTCAGGACCACGTAATCCATCCATACATTACATCAGAGAAATCCCAAAACTACTTTCTTGCTAAAATGATGGGAGTACATGATTCGCAACATGCTCTTATAATAATGGTCTCTGTTGTGTCGGAAACATCCCCTAAAGATGTAATCGGTTGACCGAAACACGAATCCATCAAATAAGTCACCATTCAACCCAGCAGACTTCTCATTCATCTGTCACACTCATTGAAAAAAACATCCGACACATTCACTCTAGATATGTATATGGATAGGGAAGAACCCTTATACATCCCGTATTATATACACTTGACACGAGGAACATGCTGGTTCCCATGTTATCAGATTATGTGGTTCTCTGATTCGACCCCATGTCAAATCATTCCAAGGAAAGACCTAGGATACATTTGATAATCTCCAGTTTATACCCTGCAAAAATGATAATCCCCAAACTACACCCCTGTAAACATTATTGGAGTATATGATCCATTTGGGTAATCCCAAAACTACTCCCGTATAAACATTATTGGGGAACATGATCCATTTAGTAGTTCTATGTAATGCAGACATGGATCATGTTTACTTGGACAACATTGTTATCAAATAAATAAACATGATCCATGTCTGCATTACATAGATGAATGAGAAGTGTGCTGGATTGAATGGTGACTTATTTGATGGATTCGTGTTTTGGTCAACCGATTACATCTTTAGGGGATGTTTCCGACACAACAGAGACTATCCCATCTATGTGGTTGTAAACGCAGGTGATGTTTTTTGCTTCTCGGAAATTAAGCAGCAATGACCAGAGATTATATAGATCGAGAACGTGACCAAGTGCTTGTACAATGTACATGGATCGGTATATAAAAAAGATTCGTCAAAAAAGCTTCTATGGAAGAAGAAGAACAGATGTTCACATAAAGAACTTCGATATCTTGACTGATTCAGCACAACGGCGCTCTATGTCACACAGCTTATCCAGCAAATTTAAAATTGTCATGGCATCTAACTCTCCAAGCAGAACTTTTGGTCACTGGTGCGTTTTAGGCTAGGTTAGGTGGTTCGGAGGATGTATACTACATCAAATCCGAAGAAATACACTTAGGCCACTATCGGGCCTGTACTGAGCCACAATGTATTTGACATTACGTTCCAGAGGGACCAACAGGGACAACGTTATCAAGAGCAATTCCGTAGCACCGCCAACCTTCAACGATCCACTCTACTGAGATGGATCTGTTCTCGGTAGCAGTATCCATTAATGTAATTGTTAGACAGATGAACGGACTCCATTATATTTTGACATGAGTTTTTTCTTTGCCATTAGGACCTATAACACCAACTCTCCAACTTTGAAGGAAAAATTCAAGAATTCGGAATTGAATAGGTCTGTTGATGAGATCCATCTCAATATATATAACAGAGTTTCTTATTCGTTGAAGGAGATCTATACATTTTTATTAATCATTAAAAACCTCTTACGTACTTATCTGATTAGACCGAAAGGGTAACCATAACAACATGAACGATTTCAAGTATCATCAGACAGTTTCTTTGGCCATTTCGGGAAAAGGTCGATTGCTTAATAAATTCAAACGTTGTTTCCATTTTGTGGCCCTTTTGTGTCCTTCAAAATCAAACCTCCAGTTTTGAAGGAATAACACAAGAAGGTTAAAAATAAATTTAACACTTATCGTTCTTCACTATGTGAACTGATCTTCCGAGAAAGAGATTTTGGGCATATGTATAGGTAAAGGAACAGATGTACAGTACAGTAATGGGGAACCTTATGCTATCAATATAAAAATAAATTCTTTTCAAAGCCACAGGTGCCTAAACAGACCCACTCGCACAACGCGAACAATCTTTAAAATCAACCAAAATACACCTTTATGTTACGTACTCATCCAACTGCTGGAGATAAAGATCTTCGAAGTAGTTTAGCCCGTAGACTATAACTGTTTTTATAACAAATGTATGTTGCATCAAAACACATCAGTATGATAAAAGTATAAAAATCTCCCCAACTGGTGATAACATCATAATGAACATTGAATTTATGATAATGATCTCTAATTGATGAGAATCATAAAGTCAAGATTTGTTAATGTTATAAATGAGTTAAGTGGCGCTGACGCTTTTTCTGTGCCAATGAGGCGCCTCATCTATCAATGATCGGTAGTGATGATGTTGGTGAGATTATCGTTGGTTGAACATTTTGATTGTATATTTCATTTGTATTTCACTTTGTGGTTATTTTTGCTTGTTCAATAATGATGATGATGATTATTCATTAGTATTTTTTATTGTTGTTGTTTCATCAATCGGAACAATTAATTAGTCAAATTAATCGATTATTTATTTGTGTTACTTCTTGTCTGTTCGCATCATGATTATTTGTACTACTTTAGAATCGTTTCATTGGTTTTGTTGAGGAATTTTTCTTTGTTTTTGTTTAAATAAAATAAACATTTAGTTTTTTTTGTTGTTTGATGATTTGATTTAAGTTTATTGAGATTTTATTTAAATCATTTTCTATTTGTTTATAATTTGTTTCGCTTTAATGATATTTCAGATAGATCATTTTTAATTAATAGAATTTTTCCTCACTTTCAGTTCCTTCCCTGACGCATTTCTCCTCCCTGCCACCAACCTCTCTCATACGATTTCATCATGCACACATGCAACAACAAAAACAACTAACGCAACATTTACCCGCCCAATCAAATTTCACCTTATCTTCTCTGATGAATCCTCTGTGCGGTTTGAAGCCGCTACAAATGAATGTCCAACAAATGGGACTTCAGAATTTCTCTACAACAACATCGAATAGATTTAATACAAAAATGAATTTTGACATTCCCGTAGTAAGACCAAATTTATCTTGTATATCCACGCTAAGACATCATCATATGGGAACAACGAATTCCAATGAAAGTCATATGAATTTCAATAGCAACACCACAGCACCCGCCACGTCAAATACAGCAACTACAAATACCAATGCGGGGAATTCTCATGCGAATATCAGTAGCGGTAAACGGAAACGCTCTTGGTCTCGAGCTGTTTTCAGCAATTTACAGCGTAAAGGTTTGGAAATACAATTTCAGCAACAGAAATATATCACCAAACCGGATAGACGTAAATTGGCCGCTCGCCTTAATCTAACAGATGCCCAGGTAAGCAGTAATATGGGATCCAGTCTTACATACATGTAAACTATAGCCTATAATTTCGTTTCTATTTTAGGTTAAAGTTTGGTTTCAAAATCGTCGCATGAAATGGCGCCATACACGTGAAAATCTAAAAAGTGGTCAAGAGAAACAGCCCGGTGAATCCGTTACAGCTGATACTTTAAAAGCAAATGTAGATAATGCTATTGGTAATGATTTACCCGGTTACTCTTCTGACGGTTCATCCAGCCTAGAGATGAGTGATGTTGAGGATGATGATGATGAAATTGATGTTGTAGAATAGTAACCTGAGATTAAGATAACTTTTAATATATGTACTTATGCTTAAGTAGCTGCTAATTAGTTATAAATTTTATTTATTTTATTGTGTTAATATTTAGTTAATAATGAAATATTTAAAATATTTTTTTTAATAAAATTATTTGTAAAATATTAAAGTGGAATCTTTTATATGGATCCAAGAGTAATATAACATATAATGAGTTTGATTCAGAAAATGTCAATATTCTAGATTTCCTCGATCAAGTTAATATCTCTTATATATAAAATGCTAGGTTAGGTTGATAGGAGGATGTATACTACATCAAATCCGAAGAAATTGCGTCGAATGGTTTTGCACTCGTCAGGTTAATTTCCTTTCAAAGCTTTATCACCTGATATCGCCTTAATTGCCTTCTGGTTGTTGGTAAATATTTTGACCACTGTTGGCCCCATATTTATTGTAATACAATATATGTATTCCTCAGAGTTCTGTCTGGAAGCTTGTGTTGTGATTAGGTAAACGTTAGTATATTTCAGTTTATTCAATAAATACATCCCCAGGCCCGCTTTGTCCAACAATTTAGAGCCTTTCTTGTAGCAACAGATTCCTACAGATATTTCTATAATGTTCTGTTCGATAAGGAAATTCTATCAGGTATTAGTGTTTTAAATGTGATCGGGCACGTCCAATGATTGTGTGTGTCGAGTATACATTGATTACGTGTCCTATAATCACCTATAATCGCTAAAGCTATGAGCCGTTCTGCTATAAGTGCTGACTCATATTTTACAAATGATTCAATATTGCAGCTTTTCCAGAACCTCGGTTGACGTGTCCAGCAAAGGTATAGTGCCCAGCACCGATGTGCCTTGTTGATCCTATACCTTTATGTGGTGGCTACATTTTAATTTCTGGTCAAGGATAACACTTAAGTACTTAATTCTATTGGCCACCAGGGCCAATACTGTATTAGCCTAGAAAAGTTGGACATTTACGTGATTTAATCCGAGGTTCCTGGTAACCACAATCATGGTCATCCATTAAACTTTCTTGGTGAACACCTCCTCGCTCTTTGGGTTTGACTCGTCAGAGTAGTCTGAAGAGGATATTGATGCCGTGATAAGGACACCGTAGTGCCATCACTAGGGATAGCAGTCTTTTTAACTGGCACCTTCCCAATTTTTGAGAACACAACTGCTCTGTATTCTGGCGAGTGAGTGATTTCCTCCTCGCTTTTAAGATTGGACTCCACAACGTTATCAGTAGTTCCTATTGATACATTGGGTATCGTCTTTGGTATTGTAGGATCCTTGCCGGGACTTGTTGTAACAGTCCTTCCACTCTAAACCTTCCCAGTTTTGGAAAGAGTACACTGTATCAGAGTAGGAAGGATGGAAATTTACATGATATAGTCTGGAAACCTCAAGTACACTACTGTTGCTATTTAGGTGTCACAGTAAAAATTGATGACAGCATTATCTTCTGTCCGCTTTTATGATTTGACTTCTCTACGTTGCATGTAGTGGTAAATGATACCTAACAGCATCTTTTAGACTACCCTTGTTGTTCTAGACTACCACAAAGTGATGGCCCTCAAGATCCTCTTTGCTTCACGACCAGTTCAGAATTTTAGTTTCCAAGAATTTCAAATATACGTTCATTAGATAATTTGCTGCCCCATCCTTTTATGTAGATAGTTAAATTTTAAAGTACTGATGATCCATCTTCTTGGATCTTCCAGGAACTACATACCACCAAGTTCTTCTGAGTGCCAGCAAACCTTATCAACATAAGGCCCATGCCTAACTCACAGCTCATGGTGGTCATTAGTTGCCCTTAGAAGCGATTGCTTGCTATATTATTATTTATTAGGTCTTGTATCTTAATGTGCTAGTCTATTGGGATGTTTCCTGTCAAAGTGGGTACTTCACTACCTAGATTCATCTTCCACGTTTTCGGGACGTATTTTGAGACAATTTAACCTTTGATGTTGAATTTACTGACATGTTTCTATTTGAAATATGTATCTTAGCTTTGTCAATTTTACCCGCAGGATGCTAATTAGAAGTTCCTTTAAGTGAGGTATATTAGGTACAGTTGATGTTAGAAAACGGGGGGCTCTTTTTATACCCTAAACCACTATAGTGGAGAGGGTATAAATTGTATATACCTTGTTTTAAATTGTTGAGCACCTTGGGAGATCTGAAGCATCATTTCCAATATCTTTTTCTATATCCTAGAAAGCCATTTTTGATTGTAGGTAGATTAGCTATCATATCACTCACCTTCTTCATTAGTGGCTCTACTTCATCCTTATTGAGATTTGTTATCTGAAGAATCAGAGTGGAAGTATCCACAATCTAATACTTAACGACTGAGTTAGCTAAAAGCACTTTTAAGTACATTCTTCTCTTTAAGCTCTACTCTGGTAATTTGTACATCTTTCTCTCTCTGGTTATCTGTACACCACCATATCCAATTTTTAGTCCTGAGTTACACATTGAGTTGCAGAATCTCTCCATATGGGCTAAAACTTTTCCAATTTTTAAAGATTTTTTCAACAACGGTATAATACATCTACGTATTTCAATATCAACATTAAAGTCAATTATTGCTATTATATGAGATATCGGAATAAACAAATAGGAAATGATTTAAATAAAATATCAATCAACTTAAATCAAGTCATCCAACAACTACAAAAAAAAAAACAGGTAAGATTTTTTAGTCGGGCATGGCCGACCATATGATACCCTACACCAGTGATTATATTGAAATGAAATATTTACCTTAATTCAGAAATATTTCTGTTGACAAAAAAGGGATTTTCTAAATGAAGGGTCATATGGAGGCAGGTTTTTTATCTGGCCCTATCCTTATAAATTTTGGTAAAAGGATTTAGGTTAGGTATTTATGCAGAATATCATCATGTTATTAGTGTTTATAAGTGAATTTTGACCAACAAGTCATTTTCTGAAGGGGACTTTGTATGGAGGATAGAGGCAAATGACGCCCGATCATTAGTTAGCAGTATTATTGAGAAATATACAAAACTAAATTCTTCCGACTTTTAAAGTGATACAAACAAGAACATTTAACATATTTATGAACTCAAAAGCCCTATTCGGGGGTACGGTTGTATGGGGTATATACGAAATAATGGACCGATTTTAACGATTTTCAATAGGGTTACATGGACACACAGACGGACGGACATAGCTAAATCGACTCTGAAAGTGATTCTGAGCCGATTAGTATACTTTAAGGTAGGGCCAATATTTTTGAGTGTTACAAACATCAGCACAAACGCATAATACCCTCCCCACTATAGTGGTGTAGGGTGTAATAAATTGTTTATTTTGTTTAAAATAAAAACGAAGAACAAATCCACAAGAAATAAAATTCATTATATTATTTTAAAGTGAAACAAACTATGCCAGCAAATAATCGATTAATTTAACTAATTAATTGTTCCTATTAATGAAATAACAACAACAAAATTACGAATGAATAATCAACATCATTGAACAATCAAAAATAACAAGAGAGTGAGAGAAAGATACACACACAAATGAAATATGCAATCAAAATGTTCAACCAACAATAAGATCAACTCTCCAACATCACTACCAATCATTGATAGATGAGGCGCCTCATTGGCACTGATAAACGCAGCGCCACTCGACTCATTTAAAACATTAACAAATCTTGATTTTATGATAATGATCTTCATCATTATAGATTATATTGCTAATACACCAGCAAGAGAACATTTTTGTTTAGTTATAGTGTTGTATTGATGCAACAAACATTAATAACAAAACAGTTAGAATCAATCGACTAAATGAGCAACCTATGAACCACCTCGATGATCTTTATCTCCAGCAGTGGGTAGAGTATGTAAAACAAGAGAGTCTTTAAAAAAAATTAAAATTTTGTTTATTTGTTGGTTTTACAAATTTGATTAAGAATTGCCCAGGTTGTATGTGTGTGTCTATTTAGACACCTGTGGTGTTGAAAATATGTTTTTACAGATTATTTATAAAAATCAATAACAATTTATTTTACAGTTCATACAAGTATAGTATTGATTGAATACTTTTATTACAATAGTTTTTATGTCATTAAGAGGATCTTTAATGATTACACTGGCCAATAGCATTTTAACCGAGAAACCAAATAATACATTTCTAAAGGATTGAAGTCCATTAAACCCGAATATACTCTTATAATTTCTCCATATAATATAATTTATCCATATAATTTAATAAAATCGGTTATGTCATCTGAATGTGCAATTTTTTAAATCTAAAATAAAGGTTTAACTTTTGTTAAATATTTATCTTTCTTCAATTCGATATTCAACTGAATTTTATTCGTCTATAGACCCCGATGTAAAGTTTTACAAATTAAAGTCTCTGCCATTCCCAGTTAACATGCAGGGAATGATTCAAATTGACTCTGATTCAAAATTGAACGGATAGCATCAATTTCGATCAATTTGATGTTCACGACGATCGATCGATGTTCATGACGATTGAAACTAAATTTCTTGGTATAAGGAATCTATATTTAATATATAGTTAATATAGTGACCCTGTAACTTATTTTTCGATCCACCTTTGCTGATTTAAGAATAATTTTAAAAGTAATTATTGGGTGCATTAACATTTATAGTTTTTAAACATCCTTCAGTTATAGATGGAGTCAGTGTATCCTTTAATACAAGAACCCCTTTTTTGGATTCACCTATATAGCGGACAACTTCATTCAACGCCGTTTCTACCAAACATACCTTTACATAAGCATGCTGCTTATATTTGAGATCTCTGTCTCCGTTCTAAGTTTTTAAGTAGGAAGGACGTAAGACTTATCGGTCGATAGGACTTAGGTGTCGCATAACTAGGTTTTCCTGGTTTGGGCATCCTGCCATTTAATGGGGTATATGATAATATCAAGCATGCAGTAAAAATCTTTGACAGATGTACGGAAACCAGTCCCCCCTCTCTCTGCAAATGTGC